ACCTTTGTGCGTTGACAGCGTCTCTGTCCAACCATTTGTGCGTTGACAGTGTCTCCGTCCCACTCTTGATGCTTCTCAAACCCACCGAGTTGCTGACTGACCCTGGATGAGCGTTGGCACCACAACGATTTCTGCTAACGTCCGGTTGTCATGGCAACGCAGCAGCTCCCCTCAGCGCGAATGCATCAACCATCCATCCCTGTTTGAGTCCAGAACAAAAGAAGAAAAATATTAATTCAGTTTAAATAAATAAACCGGCTGCTGTCTGAATGAATTTCTGCTCAAAGCAAGAAGGTTTGAAGATCCGTTTCAAAACAAGCAGTTCAATATAAAAAGTGTGTTTGAGGGGTTCTTCCCAGAAGCACTTCCTAATAACCCATTACAGCCCCCCCCCCCCCCCCAACCCCCCAATATCCAGAGGATCCAGCTCCCGTGGCCAAGACAGTTGGTATGGAAACGGATCAGCAAAGCTCCAAATCTCCTTATTTTTAACGACTCATTACCAGATTCTGCTGCACATAATTGTCGCTGCCTCACCAAGGAGCCCCATCAGCGAGCCGGATAGCTGCGGGGAGCGTGTGCACGGCCTGGTGAGCACCGTGGTGATCATCCTGTAGCACTTCAATTTCCCTCCCTTCTGACTTCCCCCTCCTCCTCAAATCCATTCTCTTAAGAGCGCACGAGTGGAAACATTGCTTTCTCTAATCATTGTCGGTTTTGTTACTTTTTTCCTGCCAGGTGGGGCTCAAAGAGCAGCACGAGGTCCAGCTCTGTTGTGTTTGACGTTTCACACTTCGTGAAGCTGCAGCACAACATCAATAAAAGCCTAAATAAAAATAAAAATACAAATAAAAACATGCCAGAGTTGTGAGCTGAAGCACAAACGGTTTTGATTCAGGAGGAAAAGATTGCATTCGTCTGTCGCTCTGAGAGGAGTCTTCCTCAGGCCTTCGCCTCTCGTTGACAAAACGAGATGAAGAAGTCAGGACTGATGGAGGACAGCACCGAGGGTGGAGCAGGAAAAGCGGAGAGCAAGGTGAAGATGAAAGGGCTGTATCTAAGAACGCCTTAAAGGAAAGACTTAATGTTGGAGCAGCTAATCTTCATCCTGACAGAATCATGTGCCCCGAGGTGAGGGAGACTCCTGCAGTTTGAAATCCTCTCACACAATCTGTGAAAACCCATTCAGCTCCGGCTTCAGATACTAACGATCCCGCATGAATATGTTCTCTTTAATGGAAGGAATTTACACGTTAACAATACTCTCAGGACAAAAGATGCACATTTTTATAGTAAATACTGTTTTAAAAAATCACCTGCTACTAAAAAGCAAAGGGCAAAAGTAAATGTTTTGCCCTTTTGTGTGTCTGTTAGCAAAATATCTCATAAACCACTGGACACATTTTAATGAAACTTGCAGAAATTATTCATTTGATGCACATCTACAACTTATATATTTTTGTAGTCAACACAATTAAAGATGGCCACCACAAACAACTGACTTTTTAAACCACTAAAATGGCTCCAAATAGTTAATTTTTTCAGAAATTGAGCTAAAATTTAGTGTGGTAGTAGCTGAGAGTCTTACTCAATATATACTTAAAGTGCTACTCATTAGGCAAAGTTTTAGCTTTAAACCATAGCATTAAAGGTTGGTGTCAATCCTGTTTGTTTGAGTTAATCCAATTAAATCACAGCTAATCTACCCAACACAAAATTGTTGTAATTCTATCAGTTTTAGAGAAATTGAGCTGAAATTTGAAGTGATGGTAGCTAAGAGTTAATTAATACTCTGAGTGGGATGACTTACATAACGGTGCAGAAGATTTATTTTTAAGGTTTAACCAATGATTTAATCATCGTGAGATGATTTAAGTCTACAGCTCTGGCATGAATTTAAGGGAACATTTGGACTTTTTTATTTCTCTGTTTGTAGCTTGTCATAGAGGTTGCAACCGTATGAAAGTCTTGTGTTTTTAATTTGTCCACATCCAATCTTTAGACTTGATTGACATTTTTTGTTTTAACAGAAATATTTGTTCAAACTCAAGAAGAAATGATGTGAAACTATTGATTAAATGTAGTTAGATTGCAAATCACAGTGAATGTAATGCAAGAATACAGGTAATGATTTTATACCTGAAAGGTCAACTTTACTGCAAAGCCTTCATGTTGTCTGACCTGTCTGTGTCCATGCAACTGCTTTGAGCTAAATGTTAGCATTATGTTGTGACTGTGTGAAAAATATGAACAAAATCTTTAAGGTTACATTAAGGGTACTCAATGCACATAAATGTCAGAGTCTGTGTTTTTTTAAATATATATATATTTTTTTTACTTCTGCAATGTCCTTTGGTGGGCACAGCTAACCAAAATGTTAGCTTCACTAATCCATATTCTGCTTTTTTCTTCATATTCCGCTGACTATAAAATTAGCTTTGCTAATGCTAAATCACCAAATGGTTAAAAGAAAAAAACTAAACCGCTAAGACGACTGTCACTCAGTCTGTGTCACGCTTCTATGTCTCCTTCCAATTGAAGCTGCATTGACCAATCACGTACTGTCACGTGTACACTTAGTAAGCCAATAAAGTGCTTTTAGCTAGCTGCTGCGTCAACCAATCATGTCTTGTCATGTGTAAACATAGTAAGTCAATAGCATGTTAAACAGACTTGTCATAATGTGCCCACAACGGACAGTAACAAGTAAACAGCATTAGTGAAAGAATTTCTCTAACAAAGTGGTCCTTCGAGCCGGATCCAACATCTTCCTTGACACCAGGTTTGGACCTGAAACTGTATGGAGGAGTCCGAGACTCAAGACTCCTAAGCAGAAAGACATTCGACTGAAGTGTCAAGAGGGGTCAGGAATCTGCTGGTTTCAAGGAGGTGATGGATCCTTAAACCAGAGAGAGACACGAATTAAACAGTGAGGTGCTTATTCTATGGCAATGTCCTCATGCATATGCATTTATGTATGTAACCTGTACTGAATGCAGTCCTTGCAAGTAAAATGCTGGTTATAAATCTTCACCTGACATGTGCGAGTGGTTATTTTGAGTAACAGCATTAGTGAGAATTTGTTTAACAATTAGCAAAATTGCTAATCCGCTAAACGAAAAAAAAAATACTTTGGCTAAAAGCTGTTAGCACATTAGCGAAACTGGGCCTACCACTGGTCATGTGTTTGTTTCTCTGTATCAGTTCATACCTGCTTCTCAGTTAGTCCTGCCCCGCCCACTCACACATGTTCCCCATATCCTTAGTCCCACCTGTCCCCACTTACCTCATCAGCCCCAGTCTTCTCAAACACATTCATCTGCAGCTGCTGTGGCCTGAAAGAAGACAATAAGAGTAAAAGATACTCTGACACAATGCTTTCATTTTAGGCAGCTGTAGCGGGAATGAAGCATTGTCAAGAGCTTTGTGTTTTTGAAACCATTAGTGAAAAGGCCAGACTTCAGGGGTATCTGAGGCAGGCTTGAAACACAAGAGTCAGGGTGGCTTCTGGGTAATACCAGATGGCTAGGCCTCAGACTGACGAAGCCTCTTGGATGAGGGGCGAAACGTTTCTTTTTAACAAAAAA